TTTTTTCATTGCAATGACAAATGAACATCAACCTCTTCCACGACTACTGAAGTCAAAGAGAGGCGATGCTTTTAGAAAAGAAACCAGTTTTGAAAGCAGTCACTGAAAGAGAGGGAACGTTTCAAAGCTCCGAAAATATCCTCAATTAACTAGCGAGTACCTTCAGCTTGATCCTACCAAATTAAGACTATGCCCGAGGAGCAAAGACAAGGTTATGATCCTGAAATGCTTTCTTCTTTCACCTTATCAGCCAGTTAAATAACTGTTTCTTTTCCTTAACATTATCTGCCCCAAATCACCATTTTGTGAGAGCAGCAGAAGAGCATTCTGAAACTCCTCCTCCGTCTAAACTGATAGTAATCTTAGCAGCCAGTGGAACATTTTCTTCTTGTTACAGAAAGCCTATGAAGGGAGGATCAAGAACAATGGAATCTCCTATATGTCTTACAGGGAGTGTGGTGACATGTTGTATTTTTTTGTTGTGCTCTGGGAAACCTACACTGCAGCTGTCTCTCCTGAATAAAACTGATACGGATATGGATATAACCAGAGGTATGTGAAAATTTCAGTATTTCCAGTACTTCTTGTTATTATTGTTTTTCATAGGCTTTCTCTCCACCAAAGATCAACCTCTTTTCCCAAACTCATCCTCAGTTATGTCTCAGGTATGGGAAGTGTTAAATGCCTACTAAAATATGTGTCCATCAAAAAATGTTCTACTGGTCTTCTCTTCATCTTCCGAGGAAGAGACTATAATGTGAAACTGATCAACCTGAGTGCACTGGAATGCAGGCAATGGAGACCATTATGTCAAGTCACAACTGGAGAATATGGGTAGCAAGTTGGCTCAGTTACAGTAAACTGCTAATAAGACTCTCTCCTGCTTATCTGCATTATCAGCATTAGAGGCTGAGGCATCACAAGGAACTTCAATGGAAGCAGCCGATAGGGAGGAGCCACTGCGGATTATGAAGGTACCATGGTTGATAGAGCAGGAACCAGAGACAGTAGATTCAGGTGAAGCCCCGGAAAACTTGGAGGTGAGTAGCCAAAAGCACCAGCTGTGTGTGGAAGAGGTTAATGGAGTGTCAGAAGGTGGAGTGTTATCACTTCTGCTCTTACCTGTCCCACCACATGGCATTTGAACCCTGGAGGGAAGCATATCATATGAAGCATTTGGCCCCAGAGAGGGACTGCACTGATGTCGGGCAATCCAGCCTTGCATGGCACAACACCCTACGGGTCCATTCTTTATCAATAGCGGGGAATAAAAACTATAACTCAGATTTTTATAGGCTCTGTAATTTTTTTGAACAGGTTCTGAATGGGGGGGATCACTTCCTTCTGGTCACAGATGAAGACATCCAAAAAAGTGAGTACATGGATGTCTTTAGCTTGCTTTTCAGGGAGAATGGAGGATAAGGATGGCTTGGATGATAAAGACAAGGAGAGCCTTTAGAGGCGGAGGGTTGAGAAGATGTGGGCAGACGGATCACTTGGTTTTCTCATTTATCTTGTTGTGGTTCTATTACGTTCATTTGGTTTATAGGGCTGAGGTGGACTTTGCTATCATGTAGCTGTAGTATGATGAAGCATATAGGAGGGGGGCATCTGAAAGAACACTGGGATCTGCCAAGCCATGAATTAAGATCATGGTTGTACAAAGAAGGAGGATACTTTATGGGGCCCAAGAAGATAAACTTTGGTGGTCCTGAACTGTTTTATGGAGTGCATCTGTCTGGCTATTTTCTTAGATGATCAGTAGCAAACTCTGTATGTTATGTTGCCAGAAAGATGGGGTAGGAAGCTAAACATGAGCTGACTTCTCCTGTGGTGGGTATTGCTGGAAGGCTAGGTGGTAATGGTGGGCTCCAGAGAGTCCTATTTAGTGATAGTGACATATGGGTCCTTCCAGTCCTGTGACTAAGGGACATGGGAGACATTCTGAGGGCAATTCAGGTGGGGGCTGCCTTGAAATCTCGTCACTAGAGCTGGAAATGGACCTGTGAAAATTAGGCTGGGTGGGGCAAGAACGGAAGTCCTGGGGGGTCACTGTAGTTGGTCAACAGAGGACCTCTTGCTGCTTGACCTTAGCTATGCACTGAAAGAGTTAAATAGTTAATAGGTCTGTAGCCTCTTTTCCCTCCCACCTCATACCTCATGTCTCCTATCTTTATTGGAAACAATATGTATCTGTCTCTTTGAGAGGCTAGATGAGTTCCCTCTCATTCCCTCCCATACCTCATGTCTCCTATCTTTATTGGAAACAATATGTATCTGTCTCTTTGAGAGGCTAGATGAGTTCCCTCTCATCCCCTGTCTTTCGGTTGTGACCCGCTATTGAACTTAACTTCCGACACTGAAATTTAACGGAATTTCATTGAGACTTGCTTTGATGATGAGGGTTTATTCAATGCAGTAATGGTTGATTCAGAAGTCCATGAAAACATGAAAAGCTTACACTAAGAAATATTTATTTTATTAGCACGCGATCTGCCTCACACTTTTGTTTAGATTTTACAGAAAGGGAAGACAACTTCAGAGATACAGAACGATACATATTCACAAAGATCTGGTAAGTGT